AATTATGGCGCTACGCTCTGCGAGCTCCGGATGGATTTTTATAATCATATTTATATAACCTGTAATCTAAGCGAAGTGCGGGAATGGTGTGCTATATTAAGAGAACTGAAAAAAAATTATTGTCAGGCGATGTGAATCACTTGACTTTATTGTACTTTTCTCGTGTGAACTGACTAGTGGACCCATAGAAACTCCTCACGTGTAGCCCACCCACATCTTCCTCGTTTGAAGAATTGTTATAGTACTTCCCAGTCTCCTGTCTCTTTATCACGTGTCTTACCACTTCAAATCTGACTTGGATTGAAAACTTTGTATTTTTTGAAGGGAAGGAATGAAAGGGATTGCACAGTATTGACACTCCCACCCTAGGTGAGCAGTCGAATAGAAAAGATGTCGTGGGTAGGAGATAGTCTAAGGTTAGAAGTGTAATCATGCTAGTTAATCGATAAAGAGCAACATGAGATCATTCGTGTCTCGTTTAAAAGAAGAGTCTACGACACCTCATCTATTGATAAGTCTTTCGAAACCTCATCAATTGATAAGTCTTTATCTGAAAAAAGGGGGTAAGTTTCTTAAGAAACTGGTTCTGCGTCAGTGGGAGAGTATAACAGGGTAATTTAGTATTATCAACTGAGTCGATAACGTAAATTGGCCACCTTGAAAAGTTTCAAAGCTGACATTTTGAGCGCCGGTTAGCCCTTCATCAGAGCTACTGTAAAATTGTGTGTGTCTAGAGCTGCGCTGGTGGTGGGATTATGGTTACGAGAAAACAAGAATAAATTAGTGAGAGTGAATGGAATGTGATCGGTGTTTTCCTTATTGATCGATTTGTTGGGCACGGTGGTGGTCCGCTTGAACGACAGAAACAGGATAGCCACGTTTATCGAAAAACTGGCACATGACCTCTGATTTTTCTGAAAAATCAGAGTTGTCACTGCATGAACGGCTTAAGTTCGTGACCGAAGTCTTAAGAATTAACCTTGAAAATGCTGACTAGCCTAGCCTTTACTAAATACCGAAAATGGAGCAATTTTTTAAACTCTGCCATAATCTGTAAAAAAGGAGACAGGTCAAGTAGTTCTGAGGTTTTAGTTTGAAAAATTTTTAAATGCTTTCTTCTTTGAAAGCGCTCTTTCTTTTAAATTGTTCATTTACGTTTTAACACCGGCCTTGGGCTTTCATCAGCTCTAGCTCTGTCTTACCTTTCTGCTGTCGAGGTAATTAACTTCTTATTTGAATATACTTACTTAAAATAGGTCCTCTTCAAATCTTTCGGCTATCAACAAAAAGAGTACCCTTGACTGACAATTTTCTACCCTTCCCCTACCTTATTCGTAAAACAAAAGCTGATATAATCTGATCTTCTTTTCTGGTATCTTAAACATACTAAGTAACGCTTCAAGTATTTCGTAACGCCTATGAAGTAATCCATTGCTTTTAACTTAGAGAGCACTGAAATGATTTCAAGACTTGAAAGTCCTTGATATAACGGCTGAAGCGCTGTTTTTGGTAAATAAATTTTTCCTTTTTCTTTTCTTTCTTTGATACTTTTCATTTTTTTCCCTAAGTATTCAATATCATTTCTGTGACAGTCCATCTTTGCTTGGTATCATTACAGACAATCAACTTCTTCATTAAATATGCTTAATGAAACAGCTAGGAATCCTTTGTCTCTTTCTGCTATCTCTGAAAATGGTTCGCTGTGCGCGCAGTTCGTTTCAAGCTTCTGTACCTTACACAAAAAATGATAGCTATCGCCTAATCAAGAGAAAATGATAGTCCCAATATTTTCTTTAGACCTAATGTCATAGAGTTCGACCGTTTTTGCTTTCCTGGTATTTGTATTAATTTTCAACTATACCGAGGTTTGCTGCAGGAGTTTTGACTCCTTGTCACTGAACCATTTTATAACCTTGTTTAAAAAAGATAATTTTCACTGAAAGCGAAGGAACGTAGCTGAAAATAAGGAATTAAGACTGTAAATGTAAGGAATGTAACTGTAAGTTTTCTACCAAATAACTTGAGTCAAATGAGACACTTTAACTGGACCTCAGGGTAATTTGGTCTTTTTAATCTTTAGAATTCAGTCTTTTATTTCTGAGATACTTTTTGTGAAGGGTGGCAAGGAAGCTAGAGATGTTCTCGGTGACTAACACAAGCGTAGGAAAATACGGGTCGAGCTAAGAACCAATGAGATTGCAAGATTCGTTACTGTGCCCTCTTAGAAAAAATAACTAACAATTATTCTACGAGCGCGAGTTGGATATGAGACGGTGAATAGCAAACGAGGCGCGTAGTGCCGAGTTGGCTATAGCCAATCTTGCATCCAACAAGTGCGAATGGAAAACTCATTTTATCAAGTTTCATTAATTCCTGAACGTTTGAATACTTTCACTAAAGTTTTTAGCTTCCGACATGCCCCAATGCATTTCGATAAGAGGTGACTCGAATATGAGCTGATAACCAGAGTTGAGTGACCCAATCAGATCACTAGAAATGCAACATCCGGAAATGAAATTAAATGATAAAGGATATTTTGGGTTTGAGAAGCCAATCAGAGCGCGCGTTTGACGCTATCTACTGTTTTAGTATATACTAAAGTAAATTATTCAATGAACTGATCGACCATCTCTTTTGGTTTATGACATTAAATATATCTTTTGCTCGATCGACATGATGCCCACTTTCGAGAGCCTTGTCAAAAATTTTCCAACTAAGGGTGTCAAGGCCCAGAAAAAAATGAAAAAAATTGGTTAATGTAGTTATAGCAAAACAAATATATCTAAGTGATATGACTTGATAGAAAAGATGCAGACATACCAAACAATAGAATAAGAGGGATGGTAAGTTAGTAAGATGGTAAGTTAGTTAGTTGATAAGATGGTTTTGGTTCTTTACCAAAAAATGTGCGTATCTTACTTTTCGAGCGCGTTTTTTAAATGGGAGGGAATGAATATCTAGTCTGGCATTCAGTAGCTGGCCTTGTCGGAGATGGATTGCTCAAAGCACAGTTGTGTTTATGGCTGGAATTTCAGCCCAAAAGGGGTTTCCCTAAGGAAAGATTTGTGGGTTGATTAAAAAAGAAGAAATAACCTTTATGAGTTTAAGTGATTTATTGCACCTCTATATCTAGTGCCTTATTTTCCAAGGTGTTATAAATACGTTGCTCGAGTGCAACTGGCAAATTCTTCTAAGATTGTTTTGGTGGCAGCCTTTTTGCTGATTGTTCTTCTTCGGATGGGTCATCGTCAATCTCGGCATCCTCACTGTTCATAACGGGTATGAGACTATGCCTCATGCTTTCTACAGTTCCATATTTTCCATTTCCTTGATAATATTTTTCTTTATCTGGATCGTCTCCCTCGAAGAACTCCTCTAGAACTTCGGCTTGCTTCGGGAAATACTCGGACGCTGTCGTAGACGATCGGTTTTCGGTGTTTGCGCTCCAGGAGTTTCCGGCGTAATAGCTTAGTTTATCGTTCAGATGACCTTGCGCGTAGTGAGTTGCTTTGCCTACAGCCTTTAAGTATCTCTCATTGTACTTGGCATTGTTTGAGTCATACGAACCTGCCGACCGGTTTACCATTTCCTTTTGATTAATCCTGCTCCTATTCAAGGAATATGATTTATGTAAAATCGCTGGCTTCTTGTGAGCATGAACGGGTTGTTTTGGAAAACGAGCCACAAAGATTGGTCGCACTTTTGATCTAGGCCTGCTTTGATTTCTATCTGACAGTGAAAAGGTAGGCTTCGGTTTACAATAGGATGGATTAAACTTGCCCTTCAGCACGTTTTCCATAGTGTCGTATCTGATGGCTGGCTTGTAACGCGCCACTATGTAGGTGTAACGTCGACCATTTCTCCGTCCTTCCGCTTTTCCGATTCCAAATTCTGTGCTATTTTTCCAAACGACTTGCATGAAGTGAGCAGCTTGTGGCTCATAACCGCCTTTGCCCCAGTTGTAAGTGCAAACCTCGTTGTACCTTTAAAAGACAAAGTTTGTGAAATTAACCATGTTGAGCTTTTTTTCTACACATCATTTCTGTCGTAATTCACAAATCTATTCTGTATCATGAAAATAAGAGTTTCAAGAACACTTAAAGTATTAGTATCAGTATTTTCAACATCATTCGATTCTCAAAGCTTGGTTACTTCTGAAAAAATCTCCATCTCCGATCCAGTGGGTCAACTAAAACATTTCTCGATTCAGAAACTGTTACATATACATGTGTTTATAGTAGCATTATCTTAAAGAGGGCATAGGTATTTTTTTTCTGGTACTGGCTCAAGATTTATGGTACTCATCAACAGATCGAAATTTCCTCATTTTTGTCATTTGCACCTGTGTCACTTAAAGATACCAGAAACAGTTGATCTCTTGTGGAATTCATTCTGATTAACTATCCAAAGAAACTATGGTAATGCGTCGGTGGGAGAGTATAACAAGGTAATTTAGTATTATCAACTGAGTTAAGAGCATAAATTGGCCATCGTTAAGTGTTTACATGCTGACGTTTTGAGGGTTAGCCCTTCATCAGAGCAAATGAAGAAGGGCTCGCTCGAAATATCAGTTTGTAAAGTCCTAACAGTGGCCAATTTACACGATCAGCTCAGTTGAAAATATCAAATAACCTTCTTTTCCATGTACTTGTTCCGAAAACCGACTTGTGGCCACGGTGAATTCTGGCCCTATAAGTTTTGAACAATAAAGAGAACCCGAGACGGATCTCAGGCATAGTAACGTGCTAAACCTACTGGTTACGATAATAGAAGTTTTTTTCTCGCTGAAAGCCATTGCAGTCCTTAATGATTGAGCCATCTAGAAATTGCATGGCTCACCAATTTTTTACTGCGCCATACGCAGTCAGTCCACCCAAGCCGCTTCCTCCTGATGCTAAATTCTCTCCTTCATCTTCCTTGCGCAGGACAAGAACGTCCTCGTGCATCATTGGTTGGTTCTTTGCACCCCTTTGTAAAAGTTTCTTTGCAAATTGTTCAGCTTCCCTTGACATCTTCATGTTGATTCTAAGAGGGGGCGAGTTATGGATTGCTCGAAATCTGTTATGAGACTCCAGTGCTGACTTCAGAAATTCTCTATCTGCGTGTAATATGAAAGGGAAACGAGAGGAAAATATCCAGAATATAACGTGAGATGTAACTGGTACCGATAGCAATTGCTAGAACGTAAATGTTACACCTGACAGTATAAGGAAAGCATAATAGTAAACGAACAGGAAACTGATGACATATAACTGAGGGCGGATACGAGGCTCGCGTATTTCAGAGCATTTATTTTTGTGAACACTGTCAAGAGGACTGAAAGTTGATAGTGGAACAACATTTGGTCAATTAAATCAACCCTCTTATAGAGATCCCTGAGGCCCACTACTAGCGTAAAACCGCGGTTTGGGTTAGACCTTGTGTAAATAAGCGGCCCTTAGAGTTTTAAATTGATTATACCTCAAAACGCGTTTTTTACCTATGCGTTCGCGGGAAGTTGCAAGGGACAGTATTTTCTTAGCCTGCGCAGCCGTCCCTTCCACCTTAGCTATGGCAAAAAGAGACCAAGGAGGCCACTTAAAAGGACAGCTTTTACCTGTTTCTATCCCAAAAGACGGTTTGTCTGTTTGATACCACTTGTCTTTAAACGAGTATGGCTTCGTGGCACGTGCGTCAGGTTGTACCGCAATTGGCAAAGGTGCTGGCTTCATGCCAAAGCTTGTTGGTGTTGATAGCTGGGTCTTCTTGACGTTTGCTATTTCAAAGTGTATATCCATGGATGTCTGATCAGGACTTATTTTTCCAGTTCCTTCGATTTTCATGTTTCCATACCCCAGTGATGCTGCAAACATAGATTTACTGTCAAACAGAAGTGCTAATTTACATCAGAGCAGCAGTATCGACTGCACTTTGAGTAAAATTTTGAATGACTTAGTGTTCAGTATTCAGGACTTGTGTCAAACATGAATCTAGCGGTGGGCCTGATTCACGACAGAGGTCTATGTAGGTCACTGACAAAGCATCTGAGCGCAGAAAACGAAGTTCTTGAAATCGATTCCTCTTCAGATTATTTCTGTGTCCCATACAAATGAAAAAATTTTTGTTTCGTTATTCTAATGTAGAGCTCTAAATTCTCCCTCATCCTTATTCTCGCTCATCGAACATGTTTTTAAAAAGAAGTTGGTATGTTAGAAAAAGGCTTTACTTTTAGTTTGATCATATGAGATCGAGAAGGCTAATGAAAGCATTTCATGGTCAAATGATAAGTAAAGCTCATATTTTCTTTTACACATATTGGCATACGTTTACATTTAATTAACATCTTTTGTTCTTCATCTTGAAAAGAGGCCCTCACTATAATTGCGAGTAAAGGACCCAAACTATGGGCTGCTTTCTCGTCTCTGGATGAAGTACACGTTAAGTAG